TACTATTTGATGGTGAGATATTTGGCAATTGGGGCACAACAAGCTAGTCACGATCGGCCCGATTCAAGTTAATTTTATGTGATGCGTGCTTAGCTAAGCAACTTCATCTGATCAGCTTGAAATTAGTAAATTACATGCATCTCACAGGTACAATAACACGTCTTAGGGTTTTCAATCCAAAATTCCTTGAAAACTTTCTATTTCTGTTTATTTTAATGTTTAGTTTTTAAGCCTAGTTTGTTAATAATGAGTTCATTTTTGCTCGCCACCATTTAGTGTGATGTGTGCTCGCCACCTTATTTGTCACCGTTAGATAAGTATGAATTTTAAGATTTGTGCCCATCCACTACACAAATATCGAAATTCAAGCTCGTCTAACGATAATAAATAGGGTGGTGAGTATACACCACACTAAAAGATGATGAGCAAAAAGGGTATTGTTTTCTTGCTCAGTTGGGTGAAGTTAGTTTTCTATATGTATGATACTTTATAACTCTATAGAATAACAAGCTAGTCATGTTGTAATCTTACGATTTATAGCCATTTCATTATTCTTGTTTTGTTTAGTAATATTTCATATTCCATTATTTTTTCAACTTGGTATCATAATAGGTTTGATTCTTAGGGTTTAATCCGCTTTAATTGGTATCAGTTTGTTGGTCGGTGCTTAAGTTTGCGAAAATTCTTCGTTTTCATTTCTTGTCAATTAGGTTTGTGTTGGTTAGACCTAGATTTTGTTTTTGTTGGGAAAAAAAAAAAGAGAGAGAGATTGGATAATCGTGAAAATCTGATGAACCCCGCATCCAAGGACGGAGCTAGTGTAGGCCTAGGGGCGGATGCCCCCACTCATTTAAAAAAAAAGTATGGTTACGCTCCAATTCTCAATAACCAGCTCTAAACTAATCTACTGTTTTGGATCCCAAATGTCCTACCTGATGACAATTTAATTGACAATTAATTTAATTGTGCCTCCCTGTTTTTCTAACCCTAGGTCGTTAATCCACACAAAACTCATCCCACCACGTACGGCAAAGCAATTCCAGTCCCCAACTTCTCCAGATTTTTCCTCCCCTTTCATTCAACCAAAACTCAATTGAATTTGGAGTGTTATAGACAGTTGGAGTTCAAGTAATCAATTATCAAAATTCAACACAAGAATTTTACTCCACAAGGTATTTTATACGACTTTAATTCATTAATTTGTTTTTGGCATTTCAATTTACAATTTAGCTTTCTAATTTAGAGATCAATGGATAAATAATAAAATGATTATTTTTAATGGTATTAGTAATGATATTGTTATGCAACGCTTTCAAAACATGAAAACGATTCAAGGAATATTGTAATATGTTATATGAAAAACTTTATGAATTAATATATTAGTGTTTTGTTCAATAAATTCTTAAGATTTTTAATTGTGACTTTGTTGTTTAAGGATGCCCCTGCTCATACAAATCTTTGACTTCGTCCCTGCCCGCATCTGTTCCGCATCGGACTCGGCTCACCATCTGGACCGTTGAACCACCATCAAACATCAGCACGCACCCGCTTCTCCAATTCATTCATCCTCGCCGCCACACCGCACCCGCAATCTGCTGCACCCGCGAGACTCCGTGATCTGTGTACGCACATCCATCTGCATCTGCACCCACACAGACCTGCATGGCCTGCTTCTGCTCCAGATTGTATTGAGTTTTTTTTTTTTCGAATTTGCATATTGGTTTGTTGCACAACGACTACTCCCGGAGGAAGGAAAAGGAAAAAGAGGAAAAAAAGAAAGAAGGGAAAGGAACAAGACAAAAAAAAAAGGTTTGGTTTTTTGAGGCCACACGGCAAGGAGAAGAAATTAGTTAGTGTTTTAAGGTTTTGGGTTTGGAAGCCTGTTACTCAAATGCAAGATCACTCTCGAGTGTTCGGATTTGTGACCACTCAAGAACATTCGAGTAACGTTGTAAACGTGATAAATTGAATTTTTTGCTTGTTTGTTCAAAACTTTGTACTTACATTGGAAGTTTGCACTAGTACTTGCACTGACATTAGAATCTTGCACTTGCACTGTTGGATTCATTGGGCATTCGCATTAGACGTTAGCATAAAGAAGCTTGAATCCACATCTCTATGTTGGCAAACTCATGTCATGTAGCGCGAATTTGAGGGGTGTTGAAAAATATTAGTGTTTAGGTTTATTTTAATGTTTTGTTTATTGGTCCTAGCCCGTTATTATTAAGGTTTTGTTTCATTGCATATTAGGGTTAGGTTAGTTTTTTTTTCTGTATATATATATTTGATACTTTATAACTCTATATATAGAATAACAAGTTAGTCACGATGTAGTCATACAAATTTTATAATCGTTTGAGCATTCTTGTTTATTTCATAATATTCTTTAGTTTCATATTTTGTCGTTCGTGTGTTTGTTTATTTGTATGTGCACTCTAATTTTCAACAAACCAAACCATTAAAAATTATAATAATTTCCTAATCTTGTCCTATGAACTACGAAGGTAAATGTCTCACATGAAAATATAAAAAAACATTACAAAGATTTGTAAGAAGTAGAGTTACTCTTCCAATTACATATCAATTGATTTTATGGTATCAAACCTCAACATTCGAGTAAAGAGTCATGCTAGCTAACAGTTTCATTTTGCAATCGATACAAAAATGTGCACATGTTGTGCTTATGGATTATTTTATTTTATTTTTTCAAAATGCAATGACCAATAGTGGTCAGATTGGTCACATTGCTTAATTCAATTTATAAATTAAATGACTACTAATACCGACATATCAATTGGCTAACATAGGCGAAATATATAAATGTAGCCTAAAACATGTTATTTTATGAACTTTATTAGAGGAATCAAATATGCACATTTCAAACAATTGGTTGGCTCTGAATTTGCCGTCTATCCAATACTTTGCCATTGCGTATTTGAACGGATCACATAATTAATGGGATGACTAATATAAAACTAAACACTAATTTGAAAATTAGTGCACAGAGTATATATTAATTAGGTAGACGTATCGCACATATTATATCTGTATCAAGATTAACAAGATTAATGAAGATTAAGATGCAATTAATTTAACAAACATGTTCTTAAACAAATCCTGCAACTTGCTAGAGGGAAGGACTCATTACTTAGGAAACCTAGCAAATCAAATGAGAGTTAAAAAAAATATGCCGCAGATTGAAGATGATTGGTCGATGCTAAGTACTTTCTAGCTAAACAGTTACTTTAAGTGATGACGTGGTGTCGGTTAACTAACCTTGAATGCTAATTTGTTCGACTTTAAATAACTTAATTCCACTTTCTAAAAATTAAGCATCATCCATGATGCATACATGTTGATATTTATGGTATAGATTTGAGGACCACTGGGACTTGACAGTCATTTTATCTTTTTATTAGTTTTCAACGTCTTTGATTGGCTGCAACTTAATTATATTTTAATACTTGATTTTGGATGTTTACTTGGTTTTGACCATTAATTAATTGTGGTAAATTTATTCACACTAACGTCCACGAAATTGGTTATCAAGTTTTTCATGCATACGCGTTTTCTTCCAATTTTCAGCGTTATTCTATATAATTGATTGTTTAATGTATAATTAGACGTTGTCTATGGTCAAAGAGAGTTTATTGAGGTGGTAAGAACCATTTTTTTTACTAAACTAAAATCTAGGTTCGAGTTCCACTGCTGACAATCCTTCTTGTTTAATGATCTCTAAGAATAAAAAAAAATGCTAAGACTTTATCTAAAAGTCCGTAAAGAAACTTGTGGTATGCCTTGACTGTAGTTAAGATAATCTCCCCCTCCCCTTGAACTTTTAGCCGAAAAAAATATAGGTTGTTTATTTCAACAATATTCAACGCTTATTGGTTCACGTTTATATATATTACTTTCCTTCTCAAACAGTACGTCAACCTAAAGCAGGAATATAAATATTTATGCCCAGAAATGAATTGTTTGTGGATCATAACAGGGACTACAGTGCTTTGTGAATCTTTGTAGAATATATATGAGATATCATCAAGTATGTGACACAAGTACTGTTGACACAAACTCAACTAGAACTTCATTTTATTGACACAAGGGAAGACTTAAGGTTATCTATTAAGTATTGATTACTGTAGATTTTACCTTATTGACATTTGTCACAAGGGAATACTGAGGCCTGCTGGCCTGATGATGGATTTGAGATTTTCAAGAATTTTAATCATATACAAACTATATATTAGTTTTTTTCAGCCCACAAAAAAAAAAAATTGCAAATATTAATGGTTTTAATCCATTAATTTAAATTATCCTGGATTTTATTTCTTAATTTTTTTTTGGGTCAATCACTCATTTTTCTCTGTTGGGACTTGGGAATGGGAGTTCAAATAAAAGTGGGATGATTGTCGATTCTTTGGTATAGGCCACAATGGGCTCAACGTGGGCTAATCCATGCAAAAATTGTATGATATCAAGCCCGTTTGATTTCTTTTTAAGGGAAAAAAATGCTTCAAAAAAAAAAAAAAAAAAAAAAAAACCTGACCTTATGCTTACAAGTAATTTCAATAAAAGCGTGTCTACAAGAAGCACATGAATTTTTTTTAATAAAAATACAAATGCTTTCAATTTCAGAATCTAAGTGAGAGTGAGAAAGAAAAAAGAGAATATGATCTATGCTATATTAGATAAAAAAAATGAAAAGGTCAATGTGTGCGTTTATTAAGTGGATATCACGAGAAAGATTTAGGGTTTAGAGTAGTTGCATGAATTACAAATGTAGAAGTTTCCACTTTTTTTGCTCAACACATGGACGAGTTTCTTTCTGAATTTACTTAGTAACCTACAAAAAGGGAGTTGTGAATAAATTTAGCTGAAAAAACTATGAACTAAAGAAGGTGGTGGTGGTGGTGGGCTGTGTATCTTTAATACTCAACTGATCTGACTCTCTTTTCAGCATTCAATTAGCTACCCCTGCTTAATTAAACTTGTGCAAGAAACTAATTCATATATTACGACCAGAAACAGAGAAAAAAACGAAACAAAAGAATGGCATCTGTGATTGTACCACCGGTGCCACCTTCGCCCCGTGATGATGCTCTCCACCTTTACCGTGCCTTCAAAGGTGTGATCGCTTCTCTTATTTTCTAAACCCTAATTTTGTTTTCTTTCCCTTTTTCTTTTCTATGCATGCATGCATGTTTATGCGCATGTAGGTACTCTTGTTCTTTAATTTGTGCATAGAACCTGTTTTGATTGCTAAATTGACGAGAATTAATAAATCCTTATTGAACTGGTTTATGTGAGGGATCGATCGAGTTTTATTTTCTTTTTGCTACATTGGCGGGTTTCGAACTCTAGATCTAACGTACTCCTACGTCATACCCATCACTCTACTCCCAGCCTCACCACTGGGCTAACCTTAGTTGGCTTTCGATCGAGTTTCATTTCAGCATAGCTAGAAACATGATCATTTTTTTAATTACTGTTGTTTAATTCCTTTTGTTTCAAGGATTTGGGTGCGACACAGCAGCAGTAATCAACATTCTAGCGCACAGGAATGGAATGCAGCGCGCTGCCATCGAAAAGGAATACAAGGCCACCTACTCTGAAGACCTAAACAAGCGTTTGTCCTCAGAGCTTAGTGGACATCTCAAGGTATAATTACAATGATTAATTTGGACGTAACCATGAATTAAGAATTATTAATTTTGAATAATTTCTTGAAGTTATGAATATTTGATCTGCAGAAAGCAGTTTTAATGTGGATGCCGGATCTGGCAATGCGGGATGCCAACGTAGTACACCATGCTTTGGAGGGAGATGTTGATCTTAAAGGTGCCACTGAAGTGATTTGTTCTCGTACTCCCTCCCAGATGCGACAATTCAAACAAATTTATTTCTCAAGCTTTGGTGTTGATCTTGAAACTGACCTTGCTAAGAAAATATCCTCCGGAGATCACAGAAAGGTCCACATTATTGGACATAATTGGACATAATTAAATACATTTCACAAGTAAATTTTCAGTGTGACAGGCAGACAGTTACGATACAGATAATAAACATGCATTTTTGTGATGTGCAGTTGCTGGTAGCATATGTTAAGGTACCGCGGTATGAAGGTCCTGAATATGATCAAGGGATAGTAAAGACGGATGCTGAAGCGCTGTACAAGGCCGGAGAGAAGAAATTGGGAACTGATGAGAAGGTTTTCATACAAATATTTAGCGAAAGAAGCAGGGCACATTTGGTTGCTATTTGCTCTGCTTACCAAAGTATGTATGGTCATTCTTTGGAAAAGGTACCTCCTCAAACTAATCTGATTTATAAATTAATCATAATAAAGCACCTACCTAATTAAATTTTAAACTAACTATTTAATTACTTGTCACACAGGCAGTAAAAAAGGAAACATCTGGGTCCTTTTCTCATGCACTTTTGACTATTTTGCGATGTGCTGACCATCCTGGCAAGTATTTCGCAAGGGTACTTACCATATATCTTACTACATTTCTAAAATGTTCATTAGTTAAATCTTGATTATTAAGTGAAAGCTTCAAGTTTAATGCAGGTTTTGCGGAAAGCAATGAAGGGTTTGGGAACAGATGATCCCACACTGATAAGGGTAATTGTGACAAGGGCCGAGTTTGATATGCAGTACATAAAGTCAGAATATCGGAACAAATATGGAAAATCATTGCATGATGCAGTTCATTCAGATACCTCCGGAAATTATAGGACCTTTCTTCTTTCTCTGTTAGGCAACAATCCTTAGACAATTTACCTACTCTGCCACTTGCCTAAGGAGCAAGTCATTGGTCTTTATGCCTGCAGGGTTGGCTGGTTTTACCTGAATGAAACTTGAATGCATAGAGCTCCAAAATACTCTGAAATTTGCTTCTTGTTTAGTGTAGGTTCAAAGTAAAGATAGGTAGGGGTGATATCTCCTCTTATTATCTAAAGAAAAAAAAAAAAACTACATTGGAGTGACAATTTTGGACGCGACAAACTATGTGACTTGAAATTCATACATGAATATGGCACGATGTTTACGCAATTAACACAATTAACAATGTTACACTACTACTATATCAGTGTTAATGTTTTATATGCTGATCAACTCGTAAGTTGACATTGCATACATAAAAAGGTAAACCCAAATAAAACACACATGCCACATTATATTGTAAAGCCATTAACAGTGATAATCATTTAGGTTCAAATTTGGCAATATATATCCTGAGCAATTAATTATATTATAAAAACATGCTCAAGCAACTTGCAGTCTCTCTGCTTATATCCATCGCTTGCGTGGGCAAGTCATTATATATAATGTTCCCAAATTTGAACCTAAACGATTATCAACCATTTGCTTCCTCAATAGTTGAGTTCCTCGAAAACTGGCATGCCACATTATGTTTGTTATGGATCTAATTAAAACATGTATTTAAAGCTGAATACCATCTTTAAATACAACCACATCAGCTAGCTAGATATCCGACAAAATTTTCTTACCCTAATATTTTTTCTTCGTTAATCTATACCTTCCTGCTCTTAATCTCCCTTCCCCTTTAAAACTTTATCGTGCTAATTGCATCCTAATTAACCCCCGTCTCCCAGAAAAGCCATGGTTAGCAGCTCAGCCATGGCAAAACCCCCATTTGCTTCACGCCTTCATCTGGTGTTGGTGTTCTGCATTGCTATTATTTCTTCTTTAGCTGTTTCCACTTCTTTTGCAGAGCTTCAGAGATTGGAACACGCAACAAAAAGAGATGATGGGTCGCTTAGCTTTTTGGTGATTGGAGATTGGGGCAGAAGAGGGTTATATAACCAATCCAAAGTTGCTCTACAGATGGGAAGGATTGGAGAGCAATTAGATATAGATTTTGTCGTATCCACTGGGGATAATTTTTACGGCGATGGATTGAAAAATGTAAATGATCCAGCATTTTTAGAGTCCTTTAAAAATATTTACACAGCTAAGAGCTTGCAAAAACAGTGGTATAGTGGTAAGTCATCACCAAAATTAATAGTAAAAAATAAAATATATCTCTCCCTTTCTCTCTAATTTTCTCATATGTTGAAAGATTAAATATTTGCGTGCAGTTTTAGGAAATCATGATTATAGGGGTAATACTGAGGCACAATTAAGCCCTGCCCTCCAAAAGATCGATAGTCGATGGTTTTGCCAGAGATCCTTTATTGTTAATGCAGGTTAATCAATTAACACCACATAAACCATCTTACTATATATGTTTTTAATTACTTCTTGGTATTTATGTATTTTTTTCCGTATAAATTTTGTAGGAATTGCGGAATTATTTTTTGTGGACTCCACTCCATTTGTGAACAAATACTTGGTCGACAAAGACCACAATTATGATTGGCGAGGCGTGTCTCCGCGGGCAACTTACCTCGCTGACCTTCTACAGGTAACTACTATTGAAAAAATATATGTATGTTGTACATAGATTTTTAATTTACTGGTCATATTGTGAAACTCAAGAAGCTTGACGAAGATTAAATTTTGGTGACCATATATGTTGTGCTGTAATAAGGATTTGAAACAAGCATTGAATAAATCAAGTGCAAAGTGGAAGATAGTGGTTGGTCACCATGCAATCAGAAGTGCTGGGCATCATGGCGACACTCCGGAGCTCATAAGTCTCCTTTTACCAATGCTTAAGGTAATTAATTTGTTCATCATAATATTATATCTAGTAAAACAGGAAGAAAAAAAACTTCTAGATAATAATTTGTATTTCTCCATAGTTAGTTAGAATTAATAGTCTGATTTTGGTGGTGATGATTTCAGGTTTATAATGTTGATATGTACATGAATGGACATGATCATTGTTTGGAGCACATTACTAGCCTCGATAAGTAATTAAAACGTCAAAAACCCTATTACGTATTTGTACATAAATTATCTAATACATTTCACTAATTAGTTTATGGGATTGTGATTAATCCCTTGCGTGCAGCCCGATTCAGTATTTAACAAGTGGGGCAGGTTCAAAAGCATGGAGGGGTGATACTAAGAGATACAACAATCGAGCCATGAAATTCTACTATGATGGTCAAGGTTTCATGTCCGTGAAGCTGGCTGGATCGGATGCTGAAATTGCATTCTATGATGTTTTAGGCAGGGTTTTGTATACATGGAAGGCTTCTAAGCAGCTTCACTCGACCATGTAATTCAATTCATTATTTGTGTGCACCGTAGCTATTGACATTTAGGCACCAAAATTTGTGTGTATAGTGTAATACACACAAATAAATTCTTATCAATATGCGAAGAAAATTATAAGCCAACTAGCTCAGTTTGTAAATTAATTAATTAATAAATTAGAAGTTGGTGATTCTCTATACTAAAAATTAACGCGCATATATATATATATATATATATATATATATATATATCTTCATAAATCTCATTCATAATTGTGGATTCAATGCTTGTACATAATAAAAAATAAAAAAAATAAAAGATAGAATGATCATTCAATCGATCAGTCGTTCATGGTATAACTGGATATGGTCGCCGGTCGCTAGTCTCTGTCGGGGACCTTTGGATATGGAACGTGTGGCTTTCTCAGATTAATTTGGATAGGCATGCACATGTATGCACTGGAACGATATGATGAGGATACTTTGCAAGGAAACACTACAGCTTAATCGATCGAACAATTTCTATTGCTTTTGATTCCTCCATATTTAATCAAAGATTAAAAAGTAACACATACTTATATACCGTATGATCACAAATGACATAATAATAAGTTGATTAACCATCATACCAATATCAGTGCCTTCATTCTCATCTAATAATCCAAAATATCCCCATACATGCACAAAAATAATTAGATATGGGAACATGACATGTAGGTCCCGAGACAGGTAAGAACTTGGCTAGCTGGGGTTGCCACTATGTATATTAAATTCTTTTTTGTTGGATAAGCTAAGTTGCATAGATGAGCAAAGTGAAGATATATATCGTTTGGTGGGGATTTTCCAGAAGTTGAGATCCGTATATAGCTAGCTTTCTTATCTCAAATTATTCACAAAGCATCCAAACGGATTAGGCTGTTTGATCACTTTCAGGCAAAGATCAATGAAAACCCTAACTTTTACGGCATGAGCCTACTTCTTCTCGTGCCAACTTCATTCTTTGATTCAAAGAATTAGTACTACATACTGTTGTGATCGGCATTATACATCATTTCGTGTTAGGGACAAAAGATTTTTCGTTGTGCGGTTTGTTTGCTTTCAATCAAATTTGGTTGGTTTCAGTCAATTTGCAGTGCAAACACTATACGTTTTGTTACCTTTTTTTTTTTTTTTTTTTTTTTTTTTTTGAAAACTTACGTTTTGTTACTTTTGACAAATTAAAGGTGGACTTGTGGATGCAGTTAAGAAAATAAAGATTCATTTTCCATATATTGTGGATGTCTACGTCATTCATTTTGCATGCATATTACGCCTTGTGCGCATCTTATAAACTCACGTTTCCTTGAAACTTCGGGTCATTTCTAATATATATAATTCCATATTCGTAACTAACCCTTATGATATTCCGTGATCTAAAAAAGCTAGGTAATCATACAGTGTAATATTTTAAAGACCAAATTTTTAGACTAAATTTGTTAAACAATATGACGTCATTGTTGATAATTGAATTAAAATTAGTATTGATTAACTTACTTATTTCCTAGATGAAATTGTAGCAATGGTCCCTCAATTTAACCCAATTGGAGTAATGGTCCCTCAACTAAAAATATGTGACCATTGGTCCCTTAACTCATCAAAACATGTAGTTATGTCATTTTCTTCAACTCTGTTAAAATCTTCATCAAAATAAGTCACGTACCACACACGTGAGGCTAAATCAAAGAGTATATATGGAAAACCAAAAGAGAAAAATTGTAGCAATGATCCCTCAACTTTAACTCAATTGGAGAAATGATCCCTCAATTTTAACCCAATTGGAATAATGATCTCTCAATTTTAACTCAATTGTAGTAATGATCCTTCCAACATGACTCATTTTGACGGAATTTTGATGGAAATGGAGTCGACAAAAATGACAATAACTGCATGTTTTGATAAGTTAAGGATCAATGGTCATGGATTTTCAGTTGAGGGACCAGTGCTCCGATTGAGTTAAAGTTGAGGAACATTTCTACAATTTTTTCTATTTTCTATTGGTGATAGATCACATGATTAAAAATTTTGGTTTACATGACATTACTCAATTAGAAATACAAACCGTATGAGACAAGGAAACCTATGGTACTAGTATCTAATATATTACTAATTCCATCAACCCTACAGCAAAAAAATAAAAATAAAAAATAAAAACATAGAGAATGAAGGTTGAACCTGGGGCAGTAACATTCCAGGAGGATAATAGGTTAAACCCGGGGGCCGGGCCAGTAACATCCCACGATCGATTATCCAAAGCCTTTTAAATTCCTTAACCCAAAAATAAAAAATAAAAATAAAAATGCTTTTTAAATTCTTTGTTATTCATGTTAATTAATTTGTAATTTAGTATGCAACATTAACCCAACTCGTCAACCATAATTATAGATAGCTTTCCTTGCTTTGCTCACCCTTCCTCTACTCTTCCCTTTGTTTCCATCTAGCTGCTAGATATGCAAAACAAGACCATGATTAGGTCAAGTATTCTGTTTCCTGCTTTAATAGCTCTATGCACCTTGTCATCTTTTACATCTTCTACAGCGGAGCTACAACGATTCCCGCACGCAGTGAAAGCCGATGGATCTCTCAGCCTTTTGGTTCTGGGAGATTGGGGAAGAAGAGGAGCCTACAACCAATCTCAAGTTGCTAATCAGGTATATAGTACTTCCTTCTAAATTTCAAATACTTGATTTCTGCGCCAAGTAAACAATAATTAATTAAGTGTAAGGAAAGTATATAAATTAAGTGCAAGGAAAGTATATACAGCTGTCAGAAGTTCAATGGGTGTGGGAGCTAGCTTAATTAGTTACTTTGTTCGAATAAAATTTATCAATCTCAATATATGTCAGAATCACAGCTACCCATTGACTATTGTACTACTATTCCGATATCGGAAAATTTAAGCTTTTCCAAACTGTCATGTAATGTTGAAAGGCTCTTCATCCATTGTCATGACCTAAATGAATGATGATGAGTTAGATAAGTTAGACGGGCTCTAATTCTAGTGATATATGTCATACTAATAATAATGTTCTTAAACTTATTTGTCTTAGTGTTTAATTGTTTTCGGACATCTTCACGAATTATATGTTGTCTCATTCGCTTATTAGAATCTTTATCATAGTATTTAATTGTTTTCAGGCATCTTCACGAATAACAATTGGTTTTGAATGAAATTTTAATTCTAACATAATATGTAACACCATATATCTTCATGTGAGAAATGAAAAACCTTACACACATTCAATGACAACATGTGTCATGAACCCTCTTACTTCTGTTATCAAATAATTTGTATTAGTATCTAGTTAATTATTATTTTGCTATCGTCTACCTTCATTTTGTTTTCTTCCTGTTCTTTAATCTCTAGAATTGGTTCCATTTCGTGATCATACATCGGCAGTGCATGTATAATGCAGGAGTGGCCCTCCTTCTTGATACTATATAGGACAAGTTCTTTATATTGTGGCTTACGGAGCCCAAACACCATGATTTGTCATTGACCAAAAATAAACACCATGCTTTGTCTACTTTAAAACCAATCAAACTCTGACACAAAATGATGAAAGATATTGGATTTGATTGGACACACCAAAATGTTTGATACTTTAATGTTTTCACTAGTAACGATAGAGAATCTAAATTTATAAATTAAATTTTGTAAATTAGATAACGTGGATTTTGAATGATTAAATTATTAAGTAAGTAATTATTAATGTATTTATTTCTATTAATGATACATTATTTAATTTACAAATTTAATTTAAAATTTTAATCTTTTTTTTTTTTTTTTCATTCAAGTATGTACATATATACACGTAATTGTATTATTGTGTTGATTTAACTTTAGGAACCAATTTCGTGCATTTGATTTCTAGATGGGAATAGTTGGAGAGAAGTTGGATATTGACTTTGTAATATCCACCGGCGATAATTTTTACGACAATGGATTGACGGGCATCTATGATCCACAATTTGAAGACTCCTTTAGCAAAATCTACACGGCACCAAGCTTGCAAAAGCCGTGGTACAGTGGTATGCTTTCCCAAACCCTAATTATATATTCACTTTTAAACCAATAAGGATTTTGTTAAAAAGATTTCATGTTTTGTCTTTGTTTAATAATTGTATTGCAGTTCTTGGTAATCATGATTATAGAGGTGATGTTGAGGCACAGTTGAGTCCTGTCCTTACGGAATTGGATAGCAAATGGCTTTGCTTGAGATCCTTCATAGTTGACGCCGGTAAGGATAAGGCCGTACTACTTAACTGTTATCAATATTTAATTATGACATAAACAGAAGATTTATTTGTCTGTTAAATTATTTGTCTGTTTTGACAGAAATTGTGGAGTTTTTCTTTGTGGATACAACTCCCTTTGTTGATAAATACTTCACTCATCCAGAGGAGTCCGTCTATGACTGGAGTGGCATATTACCTCGAAATGATTACCTATCAAATCTTCTCAAGGTACTTTCTCGTCAAAACAGAGATCCTAGCGGGGCCTCATCCCACAAAATCCTAAGGATCCAGAAATTCGGATTCTTAAAATCTCAATTCTTAAAATTTGATTCAACAGTTACAAACAGGGAGTCCTTCTAAAAGTGATAATAATTGTAGCTGTTGCATCAAATTTTAAAGGCCTAGATCTTCAGATCCTTAGAATTTGATGGGAGAAATCTGGCTAGCATCTTTATCCTTAATTTAATTTAAAATATTTTCAAACATTTTTTAGAAACCCCAAAAATGAGCTGCATGCAATTGTCCATATAAATTAGAGATGTTCTCTGTAATTTAATAATTTTAATTTTTGGCCCGTGGAAGGATGTGGATTCAGCCTTAAAAGATTCTACTGCAAAGTGGAAGATTGTGGTTGGTCACCACACGATTAGAACCGCTGGATATCATGGTGAAACCAAGGAGCTTGTAACGCAGCTTCTCCCGATTCTTCTGGTACGACTGATCATGCTAAAGTAAAACTAGAAACGAAAAACAAAACGCTCGCCTTTTCCCTCTTGTTTTTATTTTTGCTTCTCGTTTATTTCTCAACAATGTCAAATTTTCAGGAAAACAATGTCGATCTTTACATCAATGGCCACGACCATTGCTTAGAACACATAAGCAGTCCCGACAGGTACTGGTATTTTGTAACTCTTTAATTTTAATATTTTCAACTTTCAAAAGTATCAGCAATGTATCAATTTTATGTATCTAAATAAAATTATTGTTGTATATGTTAGTATAAAACTTAAACTTTTATGCATGGAAACTAATTTGAAGCATTGCTGTGCAGCCCACTTCAATTTCTAACAAGTGGTGGTGGTTCAAAGGCATGGAGGGGCTGAAGTTAGCCCTTACAGTCCAAGCGAAATGAAGTTGTATTACGATGGGCAGGGTTTCATGTCAGTGCAGATCACTCAAACCGAATTGGATATTGCATTCTACGATGTTTTTGGCAATGTCTTGCACAAATGGGGGACATCAAAGCAGCATTACTCTTTCATGTAAAGAGGTGGACATGTAGAAGTATACGCAATCTGTGTATGGTTCTTAGTCTGCTATATTATTTGTAATGCAGGTAAAAAGAGGTAAAATTATAAGTGCCTATGTCTGGATAATTATGTCGTTAATGGAACTTAATTTGCTTAATCATTCCAGCTGATCTACTTAAACATAGTTACATATTATTGATTGTAAAACTGATCGGTTCCTCCTTTCCCTTAAAGTAGCCTACCATTTTGAACGGCGAAAAAATCTCCGGCAAGTCCATGAAAACCTAGCTAATGTAATTGAGATGAATAGCCGTAGCTACAGATAATTCAGAATCAGAATAGGTCCAATCCAGGGGGAGCACCTTAGGGATGTGACATAGCCTTAAATAAAGTTAAAGACGAAGTTCAAACGAGGAAAAGTTTGCGGTGAATACCTAGGCACCCAGAGACAAGGGTGTAGGAAGCGGAATTATACGGGAAGTTTGATGGGGAAAGTTCACTTTCCTTTTGTTACTAAGTATGAACTACAACAATTGGAAAATAAATGAAAATATGAGCAATTGAAAGGAATGGTTTAACGTAAAAGGACGATTGATGCTGAAGGTGGTGTACCAAAGTATATAAGTAATTAAGCTGTTCATTTATGGTGAGTTAGAACCAGTTATCCCCTTTTGTGCTGAAAAAAGATAAAAAAAAATAAACGAAATTGTTACGGAGATCGTATTTTTGTATAACAATGGTATACTATTTGAAGTGACAATCGATGTGGAATCCAACTTCTCCTAATCCTTAAGGTAACCTAGTACTTCCTAAACAATGCCATAATTTTTGCACTCGAGGTTCTGTCTAATTTTCTTCTCTCCTAGTATCGCTTGTTTGTTTCTACTTTTTATATTCGTTCCCACTTTTCTTCAAGCAAATAGAGTCAATTTTGAACGGACATCAGTGATTCCAATAGGTACATTTGTACACACAAAAACTCGATATTAACTTGGTATTACATACGTAATCACAAACTAATTTGGTTTAATTGGTTAACCATGGAGTCAAATTCAGTTCCTTACAAGTGGAGGTGGATGAAAGGCATGGAAAGGTGAGATAAAGTCGTGGAGTCCAGAGGAGTTGAAGTTGTATTACGAATTTACGACGGCCAAGGCTTTATGTCGTTTCAAATGACCAAGGCCACTGCTGCCGTTGCGTACTATGATGACTCTGGCACTGTTTTGCACAAATGGAGCCTCTCCAAAGAGATCGACTCAGCCACTCACAGAACATTCACCTATTCTTAAAATAGTAACTCTGCTAGTTAAGTTATTGGAAAATAAAATTTACTGTGTATAAGGCGTCGTAAACATACCTGTTATACAAAAATTTCGATAATTGCAGTAAAAATTCTTTCTAGTTTAAACTACGGGGATGGAGGCACATGGCCTTGGCCACGACGCCATTGGCCTTGGCCACGACACCAAGGTCTGCAATCAGTTAACAAATACAACGAAAGAACTACTTTTCATCGAATGATACATAAAATATAGAATGATGCGTTCTCCAGTGTGGAAAGCTCATTACCAGTTCTTTATGTAACTTGCGCGAATAATCTTCCCAGAGAGTGACTGCAACTGAAAAATCAGCCCAGTTAAAGGAATTTTGCAAACTCTCAGGGCATGCCACGTCGCTGAAAACAGACTCTAGCAGATGAAGATCTTTCACAAATGAAGATTTGATATGAAGAATTCTTTCCCTCTGTGATTGGGACAAGCGTACCACCTTGCTCGTACCAAATTTGGCAGATTCAAGACCAGGAGCTTTCCAACAGTGGAATTGCACAATCTGTTACATATAATGAAAGCAGGTTAAATGTGTTTACTGAATGAATTCTTTAAATTTACATTTCATCACACTATATACCAACAGAATATGACAGACCGTGTTGGTTTGAATACCTGCAATGCATGCAAGATGTTGATGAACTCGTGGTCAAACAACTCATCTCCCCTTGCTAATCGCAGTGGCTCCATCAGTAACTCGGCAATATTTGAACAGTGGCTCTTGTCTTCACGGAAAAGTAGATCGTATCCAAGAATATGCAGTCTTGCCCAGCATATATCAAAACCCAACTGGTGATCAGAAGAAGCTTGATCGGGTGAAAACCAGTACATATTCCTAGATGCTGGCATAGGTAGACACAATTTAGGAACATTATCATGCAACAGACTCTGTGAGAGAAGGGATATAAGTTTAGCATCCTCATCATAGGTAGCATCACGACTGAACCATAATGCCAGTGTGAGTCTTTCACCATCAGTAATCTGTCAAATGATTAGCATCAGAAAAGAATCTCTCAAATGATGTTTTAGCATGAGAGAGAGAATTGAATCTACCTCATCAACGGAGTGAGTGTTGCGGCTGTCAGCTGTGTATATCACAACATCCTGACAAATACGATAAACTAACGAATTGTGATCAAATGTTGAAATTGACTGGAAATTACGGCAACTAATAAACCTTTATCGAATTGTTTTTTCCCCCATTATGGATATGCATTTGAGATGTTTGTAAATCTCACCCCTATATTCCCATGCACATACTGTATAAAGAAACTGGAAAATCTCAAGAGCTCCAGTCACTTACCCCACGTGATGGAACAATAGTTTCTGGATTGCCATCCTGGAAGTGAAAAAGTCCACCTTTGAAATCATCCACGTAATTGTTTAAATAACAGACTGCCTTTTACAAACAAAATTAGGAAAACCATCAGCAGAATGACTATATAAGAAATTACAAACGATTGCAACAGCATAAAAAAACGTAGCGTGTGGTTAAGGAGAGGTTAAAGCAATGGAGCTTGCAACAGCCAATTTGAGAAAAAACAATCAAGAGAAACCATTCAAAAGATTCATCAGCATTAGTAATGAGTTGAATGAAAATTGTTATCATACTGCACTTGACAAAGAACAACATTTATGTTTTAACATGAACATCCTTCACAAGGTTGAATACACACCGCAAAGTGACGCTGTTTGAGATAGGGCCGGTTGTCATCACTATGCCACCCAATGCTTGCTCCTCTACTCCAGCTGAGGAACAAAGACCGGAACAATAAATGAGAAATCATCCCAGCATGCTCTGGAGCCAACTTTTGATTACATCATACTCAATAAATCGTCAATATGTCATCGATATTATTGATACGATGTCAATACCAAAGTTAACAGTCTATCGACGAAACTGACGAAATGGAAAAATGTGAGATATGTAGGGAATGAAATTAAGCCTAAAGTAGGGGGGGAAATGATACTTTTGCGATAGTTTATGGGGAATTTTGATAATAAAGCAGGTAACTTTTTCACCTGATCAAACCGGTGAATTCAACGAAGAGTTCAAACTGGCACCCAAAGAACTCCTCAACCTTCTCCTTCAATCTCTCTGCGTGTCAGCCAAATATGAAAAAACCCAATTTCAAAAACCCTAAACCCTAATTGGATGAAGAAAAAGAAAACGGGAAATTGAAAAGAGGGGCAGATGATTGTACCTCTGACGGGGACGAAGGGGATGATGAGGTGGGCGGAATTGGTGGCGATGAGGTGCGAGAGAGTGGTCGAGAAAACATTGGGTCTGTAGCCAACCGTGCAGTTGCTCCTGTGGATGAACTCCAGCTCCTTGCATTCTTGGAGGGAAAGGAAGTTGTGGAGGATGAGGCGGCGGCGATCGCCTTCTTCTGCCTCTCCCATCTCAGTTCTCCGCTACTGGGTGTAAACAGACGACGCAACAAATTGACTGGGATGAACAAGAGTTTCTAACTGCACCTAACTTTTACCATAGTTACAATATACTACTAGAAAAATGAAAATTTGAAGTGTCGACAACATTCGAAAGCAGTTGTTTTTTTCTCAACAATCTGATCTGAACTAATCCAAGAATAAGACTGCATCCGATATACGTACCTCTCAACCTCGTAAAGCGGAGAGTTTTTTTGGTTTTGGATCCCTCTGATGTGAACTAATCCAAGTTAGTTACAACTTTAAATTCACATCCTCGAGTTTTTTGGTTTTGGATCCCTCTGATGTGAACTAATCCAAGTTAGTTACAACTTTAAATTCACATCCTCGTAACTTAGATTCGGTTAAAATTACTTCAATGAAAAAGTAGGAATATTCTTGAAAACCAGTTAGGTGTATTAAAGGAGAGATCTTCTGCCCGGTTTCGAACTAGGGCAAGAATAATGTTAGAAAGATTAAATTCGGATATTAAAATTACAAACTAAATGATGTATCATAAATAGAAATAAGCACGTGTATTTAAGAAATAAATCAAACATCGTCCGATTTCATATGTAGATGAGCAATCAAATCAGATGGAGAGAGAGGCGTCAAAATTTGAGAAGAAAAGATGGGAAGGAAGAAGAGGAAAAGATGGATGATTCATAACGTGGTTTGCTTTGCAACTACTAGTGTAAGAGTTGATGTGACATAAGATTAACCAAAAAACAAAAAGAGGAAAAGGGATGATCTCTCAATCCATCCTCCCAAAGAGAAACGGTAACTTCTTCCGCCTGTTCCTCTTGCTTACTACGATTTTAGCTCCACTCTCGCCGCTCTTTACATTTGTTTCCAACTCTCGTTGCAGTTTGCAGCCTCTACTCTGTTTCTTCCTTAATCTCTCTCGCTCTCTCTCTCTCTCTCTCTCTCTCTCTCTCTCTCCCTCCCTCCCTCCCCTATACTGCTCCGGCTTGATTGCTTGGTGTCACACTGTCGGAGTCCTGATGTTCTTCTTCAACGACTGCTCTTCCACTGCCAGTTCCGTCCGCCCTTCCATTGCACTCGTGTCTCTCAGCTTTCCCATCCGACTTTCCTCTTGGAGAAGGCGTAGTGCTATGGTTGGATTTTGCAGACCCGTTCTCTTTCTCTATCTGGGGTGGAATCTCAACAGCAGGGCTCTTTTGAGTTGCAATATAAGGCAGCTGTTGAGGAGCTGATGAGTTACCCGAACCTGGGGGAGGGAGGAAAACTCCAGTGCCAGGTAGAGGGATGCGAGGCGGAGGATGCCTGGGAGCTGCTGCCCATCCAGCTGAAACAGGTGGCATGGGAACTGCTGTGGCAAAAGGTATTGCTGGTCCTACCGGAGCTGGCACAAACAATGGCTGGATGCCATTTGGAGGTGGAAGTTGGGACCGAATTGGTGGGGCTGGCAAAACACCAGTTGTTGGAACTGCCGCATAGTGCTTGGGACCAGCAGGATGCCGGATGTGACTTGGAGATCTACCAGATGCTGGACCCCAGTGAGATGACTGAGCTGGAGTAGGTCCAGGAAAGCGTTGACCATCGCTCATCATCGATTTCTTTGGTTGAGACTTTGTGAAAGTAACAAGTATGCGTTGCTTTCGGATAGAAGGTATTGCATGTTTAGCAAAATCTGTGGATTTCCCTTGCAGCAAAAGGAGGGATCTGCAGCGTTCATGATCAAACACCTTGTGTCAGGAATCTCAAATGAAAGTAACCAGCCTTTAAGTTATAAATGATGGCACGATTTCATATGCAAGATCAAAAGAAAGGACAAGACAATTGCATATGGATGTGAGAAAACTATGCCATGATCCTGAATATTCAACTCATATTCTTCCGGCATGCAAAGGCAACAAGGAAAATGTGTTCTATTAGTATGAATAATGTATCGATCTCTAATGGGTGCGATAGAGCCAACTTCTAAAAAAGCTGCAAGCATTACTAGGTCATCAGAATTCAATGTTTCACCGCTAAGAAACCTTAACTTGATTCCGATATTTTTAAACCAGTACTACTCGGCCTACAATACTTTATTTAGAAAGATGACAATAAATAAAGTACATAAAAGAGAAGCAGCAGCAAACCAAAATGAAGTTCACACTGAAGAAGATAAATATTATCAAATGAGAGCGGTCAGAAAGGCTACCCAGGTGTAAGAGAAAGCTTGAGGGAGCCTCTATAATCCCCAGGATGGTCTGATACTAGTACTCTCCCAAAAGTCATGTCACATTCTGTCAGTAACAGAATGCAAACAGGCCTTCCAAACCAAGGTGGCCACGTGTGAGGGTGTGAATGATCTCCCTACAAATAATTGTCACAAAATTTCATAAACATTATGACTCTCAGAAAATTGTGCAATTATAGAAACCTAGAAGAAGATACAGTAAACCAATATCAACCTCGTTATAAAAGTCAATGATACAAGAGTCTGGCTTCACAGTCGTAACTTGCATCCCATCCAAGCGATCTATAACATCCTGCAGCAAGGAAGGGATGGCTTCTATTCTCCGATCTACAGATTTCATTTATAGACAAATCAACAAATGGAATTTGAATAAAATGTGAATAGACATTTCCTTATATTGACAAAAATTAAAAGACCAACGTAATTTGCAACATGCCTTTGGAGGTTCCTGCAGAAATTTCATCTTCAGATGGAGCATCAGTAACAGGTAGGCCCAATTGAATCATTTCTCTTCCATGTCCCCTCATGGGCCTCTTTGAGACCACATATGTCTGAGCTGCTTTGCATAGAAAAAGAGAGTATATATTATTCGCAAGGGGCTTTTCATACGTAAGCCCTGGATATAACATCACACTTTACAGAAAAAACACTTCAAACTCAGTAATTTAGAGAAAAACCCAACTTACTTTATAACACCAAAGGAAATTCACAACTAGAATCAATTATAGCATGAGAAGTGGATAGATGAGGGCGTTTTCTCCAATTGGCCTCTTTAAGTGTTTTTCTTTAGAACTTAAATTTGTCAGGTGTGCTTTCTAGTTTACCAAAAACAGTACTCTTCTGAGAGTTAATGAAATTATGAAATACAAACTTACCAAAATTTGATTAGAAATTCAATAATAGTATTTCCCTGGCATGATGTGCACACGCCCACACAAATAACATAGACCATAGTGTAGATACAATAATACCAAACACAAGTGATATTAGAGTCGCTAACACTAACTAGTACAAGCATTTTGAAAACTTTCTCGAAAGGTTTCAGGGGTAAGACAACCAATAGTCTTGCAGGTTAGGATGGAAAGGATTTAAGGAAAATGTAAGAATAAAACAACATTCAAAATGTTAAAACTAAGCCATCCAAATCCTCACCTATAAAAAGAAAAGGGAACAAAAAAAGTTTGCGAGGGAACGAGAGATCCTCAACAGAGAATTAAAAAACAATATAAGTTCAGGCAATCATTTATTAGATCGCTTATTGAACCCTTTGCTCTGAGCTAAACATTGACACAATTTTTTTTTCAAAGATCATTTCTTAAAGCAAAGGGTTCAATACAGGTTCAAAACAAATTATTGAAGCAGCCCAAAGAAATAACAGGTGGAGTAAGCTTATGTAGTTTGAAAATATAAAACAAAAACCACTAGATACACCTATAACCTAAAACTAGTTTAATTGGAAGGTACATGACAAAGATGTTGACCAAAACTAACATGGGACACAACTACATTAAATATGTGAATTTAATAGGAGATAGTAATAGAATAGTAAAGAAAGGCAAGAATACATGTAGCAGATTAAATATGCTTAGCACATGGGTAAGGATGATGGTGATGATTTGATCAGCTCAAATGGTGTTTAACTACCAAATTGATGACAACACATGGCGGATTTATGTTTAGTACTGGAATCAGCCAAAAGTTTTTCATACAAAGGATTGCTAAACTCGCCTTGCAATTGTCCTCTTTTCCCTGCAACCCTTAAATCATTAGCCAAAGAAACAAGTTTGGAGACTTCTGTGTCACCAAGCAATCCTTCAAATAATTTCAGTCCATCGACCACATTAACCTGAAAAGGAAAACGTTAGAAAACCTACTGATTCATAACATACTTCAAGCTAAAAAGACAGTATCAAATGAGGAAACTACCGTCTTTCCATCTATTAACTCGTTGCCAACAAAAGTTTTAGGAACAACGGGAAGGTTCTGCTTTGCATTCTGAATTTGGATAGAATGTGATTCATTCTCTGGAAAAAGATCACATAATCCCAAGTTTAAACACAATAGTAGAAGAAATAGAATCAAATAAAACCACATTTTGAAGCCATGTCAGGATAGATTTGGAGTTGATGTACGTATTTTAGTAGGCAATAGAGAGTGAGAAATATTATGGCAAACCATGAATTGGGATGAACAATTCTCAACATATTTACCCTAGCGTAAATCATCTAAAGCACATGCTAAAGACGGAAATATAAGAGGTATCCCACCTGGTAGGCTTCCCATGCCTTAGTAATACCTCCTAAAAAGATCTATATTCCACATCTAAACCTTTCCCCCCAGACTAAAACTCCCAAAGTAATGAAAGAAAGGTAAACTAACAAAGTGTGTTACCTTTAGAGCTTGAGGTGCATCCATCTCCTACCGCAACTTCAGGTTCTAAATTGCAATATATAGTCTGCTGTGAATTCCCTGAACTCCTTAATCTGCTATCTTCTTGAGGTTTTGTAAGAGCATCTGTAACAGCAATCATAACTGTATTACAATAAGGTTTACAACTGAAAATTATCCGAATCTGTATACTGCAGATAGAACACAGGCATATTAAAATGAATTTTGCATGTGTATGCAATGCAAATAGTTCAGAGACGGGCTGCTACTTTTGTACAACTTTTAAGACAGTGCATTTACCCTGCAGTGATTTCCTAGTTTAAGAGAGCAATCTCACCTGGTGAAACACTTTCCTTTTCAGGTCACAACCTATGAATTTCAAAATTACTAAAAGATAGTTTCTCGACCATTTGTGAATGCCAACTTAAAAAAAAAAATTACTAACATATTCAAGACAAGCTTGATGTTCTTCAAAAGATTAAGACTTTGTCGTTCAGCTTTAAAGCTCGGACTTGATTACCATCAAACCAGCATTTACTATATTTGTTCAAATGAGCACGAAATCACCAATCCTAAGCCCAAAAGTTACCTTTTTTCTCTCCAGCAGGCGCTAAACCGTTATCATCCAACTTCCCAACCTCGCCACGGGGCTTAACTTCCTCAGCTACATCGCTTCCCCGCTCAACTTTCTCCGAAGCAACAAGCCCCGAAGAATTCCCATCATAACTATGAACCTCTGTCCTAAAATTATGTCCTTCCTTGAAATGCTCAGCCCTCTGTTGGTCCTTGTTAAACCCCGAAGCGGATCTCTTATACTCCTTGGTCCCCACTTTTACAGGATCATATTGCATCTGCTGCCTCCTCCAGGCAACATGTTGCAGTGCATATATCACCTCCGCAACGGAAAAGTATTGTTGCATATGAAGCACAGGGTTCCAATTGCACCTCCTCTGCTGAATACACCCGATAACGACGTCGTACTCGCCTGGATCACCAACTGCACGTAAATGGTGGCAAAGGGAGTCTATAATGGTATTTGCCGCTGCGAATTCTCCGCGCAACCACGAGATGAACCCATCACGCTCATCCGGGAACCACTGACGGGGGTGCTGGTGGATCTCGCCGCCTCCAACGGCCGCACCGCCCCCACCACTAGGAAACTGCATTTTGTCCGATAAAACCACATTCCCCGACGGCATTGTCATCAGAACCCACTACACCAAACTCACTACTAAGTCTACTATCACTTACAAAGCATGCCTCAGTAACTCCCAGATCCAATCAATCAAACCTACGGCTATATCCCAAACCCCACAAAATTCAAGCAGATCGCACCAAATTAAACCCCTACTCTAGCAGGAATCAGCTTAAAGACCACAACTATATTAAATTTTACCACTTTTAGAATAATAAACCCTTAAAATTTCTCAAGAACAATGCAAAACCTGAGATGGGTTCCACTTAAATTGTTCAAATATCGCACCGATCCAACGAAACAGCTGGGTTCAAGCGAATTGAGGTGAAGAATCGGAGCTTGGTCAACTAGTCAGATCTGGGAAATGGGGTTTGTGGGAATTGAAAGCAGAATTAAAGAGCAGTCGTTTTCTCTGCGTGCATATTTATTTGGGGATGGACGAGTGGGTCTCTGAGTGGCGTACTGATTGGGGTGGTGGGGTTTGGAAGAAGAAGAAGAAGACGAAGAAGAATAAGATCTAGGTTTTGGTGGAAAATGTTAAGTCTCTGCGCGTGTAAAATGTGGGGGAAGGTGACGAATGGCTTATTGAGCACGCATTTGGTCTAAAATGGTGGCTGAGAAACCCTCTCTCTCTCTCTCTCTCTCTCTCTCTCTCTCTCACCTTGATGAGGGAGCTCTGTCCTGTCAGTGTGGAAGGAACCAATAGAGCATATCTTGACTATAGGGGCATTTTGGTCATTGTATTAGATTAGTTCTTTAATTTCTTAATAGGATTTAGGGTTATAACTTGTTTAGAATTGCTTTTAACATGATTTAAAAACACTTTTTATGAAAATATTTTTCAAACCAATTTTTAGTAAAAATATAAATGAATTCTTGAATTCAATCTTTAGAAAAGTGTTTCTTCTAGAAAACTTTTTAAATGCTTTTAGAACTGAAAAATATTTTTTTTAAAAATTGTTTCTATCATTTTAAAAATAAGAGATTTAACGAAAAACTCGTGGTACTGTTTATTTTAACAAAAAATCATATTTTTACTCTAAAAAGTCAATCCTGATACTATTTACTTTATCCTTTATTTTATTCTTATTGTTAAAATCCAAAATTTCTAAACCTTTTCATTAGTTTTTCTTTTAAAAATACTTACAAACAAGTTTTTAATCTTGTAGCTTAAGATTAATGAGCTGCTTACAAACCCAAAGAGTCCACAAATTTCTTCTCCTTTTGTTTTGGTCAACAAATATTTCAGTTTCGTCACTTTTGTAACAACTATTTGTTGTTAGAAGTTCCCATTTTTGGTACCTGAAATTCTAGTCTGGTCTAGTATATACATTTGCACATGTACTTATGACAATACAACAATCTCAATTCGCTTGAATTGTTTTATATGTGAACAAATTTGCATTATTCTCAATTGCAAAAGATACCAATATGGATATGATTTTGTACTCACAGTGTCGTACAGGTTAAACTTAAACTCAACTTAATTCAACAACTTTCATGTTTTTTCCTCTCTAAACTCATATCAAATGTGATAACTTCATTTGAATCTTGTGTTTGTTTGTACGTGAGTTGAGTGTTAGTAAATATGGCATTTACAGTCAAAATCATACACCATAAACAAAAGTACGAGGAAGGAGAAAAAGAGAAGAGACCAAGAAAGATTGTTAAGAAGATTGTTGCGGATTCAAAGCTAAGGGCCCGACAGATTTTTTTTGTCTTTGTTTTTCTCTCTAGACGGCTAAGATTTTTGAATTGTTTCATTTATTTCGGTCTCTTGATTAACATAATTAAACATGGTGTGTATGGCGTGAAAAATATTTTTTTTCCCCTTCTTCAAAATAGAATCTAAATTTACCCACCCATATAAGAGCTAGCTGTAAGTACTCAATAGTGTAATTGTCGGAACTTAGTTTAAGAGCCGTCTTCGCAAATTTTTCAAAAGGGAAGTTAGGTAATTTTTCATGGACTTTTGAGTTTGAAAAATAGACCACGCATATTATCTATCGTACTTTAAAAGAGATCTAATGGTGATTTTATTATAGTAGTCCATCTTTGTGGATTTCTAAAAAACTCACAAAGATATTTCAGTTTTTTTTTTTTGTGATTTGATGTAAAAATATGATTATCCATAATTTTGCAAAACCACGTTAGCTTTGTTTGGATATTCACCGAATCTACTCAAATTTTGCTGAACGAAGAATGCTCTTTTTTAATTCCACCCCAATGTTTCAAATTTTTTTTTTCAAATACTTTAAATTTAACTGCATGATGATTTTTGAAATGTTCTCAAATATTATGTGTTGCTTAGCCTTTAATTTTTCTTTTTGATACAAACTTGTTACTTAAGACATCGTAATTAAAGTAAGACTTGCATCTTTTTGTTCAAACGACATTGGTGTTGGGAGAATTCGAACTCAAGCTTAAAGCAAGGAAAAATGTTATTCTCCAAAAAAAGCTACAAGCTTGTTGTGAATATCATCTTTTTCAATTTCAGCTAATCGATTTTGTCCAAACTTCTTATTTTCTTCTAAAATGCAAAGGATCTTCTTCGGTGAATTCCTCTTGTTCATGTTTTAGTCCCCTTTCTCACAATTTAAGATTCCAAGCTTGTTTAAGCATACTAAACAAGGGATTGTCATTCATATGTAAAAGATTTGCAACCATTAGGATGATATTGTTCCATTAGTTTATTTATTTTTTATTTATTTTTATTATCTTGTTTAATTTAAGCACTAAATGTGGTTTGTTATGCACATATCAGATGTGGATGTACTCTATTAACCCAAGGTCTTTAATGCGACCTCAAAACATTGAGGTGATGAATCTCTCGTCTTGTTAAGGTAATTTTTCATACAATCAATCATTTTAATGTCTTACTTAATTGCAATCGCACCACTCGGCTATAATCTTGTTTAATTGTTCCAAAGTTGAAAGTCACCAAAATGCAATTGGACTGAAGAATTTCAAGCGACGCGTCTCTCCTCTCTCTCTGTCTAGCAATGGCGGCCACGGTGACATCTCAGTCCTCTCTATCAAAACCCGCTCTCTCTTTCAAAACCCTGCAAACCCCTCGTCCTACCTCCATTGCCGTGCCCTCATCTTCCCTCTCACGTACCTCTCTAAAACACACACGCGCGCGCGCGCGCGCGCACTCTCTCGCTCTCTCTCTCTCTCTCTCATCCCAGCTATGTGAAATTGACACAAAGATGTGGTTTTTGTGTGCAGGACTGCGATTTGGTGTGAAATTGGGAAATGGGTTTGCCGCAAAAGCTTCAATGGCCGACTCCGAACAGAACTCGAAGCCCCCCGTTGCCGAAAAGAGGGTCAAGAATCCCATCATTGTCATAGACAATTATGATAGCTTTACCTACAATCTCTGCCAGGTTACCAATATAACTGATTTTCTCTTCGAATTTTCCTCCTTTCATGAACAATGATGAATTTAAATTTTCGATTTTTTTATGTACATAGAGTTAGTATTTCACATCTTTTTCCTTCCACTTTGATAGTTATTTTGCACAGAATGTTTGTTTTCTCTTTTCTGTATTCATGGAGGATTCCCTTTTCGAACAGAGGAGGTTTGAGCTTCTAGAGCCAAAAATTCAATATAACAGTTGCAAAAACCATCCATTGTGACTCTTTTAGCTTTGTGATTGCTGCACTAGAGAGAAGATATGAAAAGGAGACGCCTTGATTTTCAATTTTTAATAGAATGCAACGAGATTATGTATGATCATTCAAGGAATGCTCAACGAACATGCGTTTGATTTTGAATTCATGTGCTTTAAGCACTCTAGATTTTTTAAAAGCCCTCTTCCAGGGTCAGGTGGGACTGGGAATTCCCGAAGCAGTTCAACATAATTAGTCTATCTGTCCTTTTATTTATTGATGGTTGCAAATCAAGAAGACGTTGTACTAATACCTTTCTTTGATGCGAAGTATATGGGAGAGTTGGGATGTCTCTTTGAAGTCTATCGGAACGATGAACTAAGTGTTGATGAACTAAAAAGGTAAGTAGTTGTACTTTGCCTATTTAATCACTTTTTTTCTGATGCGTAAGCCCAATGTATTGGGTGGCGAAGCAATAATGATATAAAGATATATTCTCTGTGACTGCGAGGAATCTAACTTTACTAACTGTTGCTTCTTTCCATGATTACAGGAAAAATCCCAGAGGAGTGCTAATCTCTCCTGGGCCAGGTCAGTTCTGCACCTTTTGGTGATGTTTCATAGTTAGATGTTTCGGAAAGGAAACAATCACTCATTATTAGATCTTGACACTAGTATTTCCTTTTTTTTAGGCACCCCTCAAGATTCTGGAATATCATTGCAAACTGTGTTGGAGCTAGGGCCCATTGTACCCTTATTCGGTGTATGTATGGGTTTGCAGTGCATCGGGGAGGCTTTTGGAGGTAAGTCATCTTGCATATGATAAAGGCTTTTTAACAATCTTTATATTTCTGTTATGCATTTGACTACGTACTTTGATTATCTATGGTATCTTTTCATTGTACCCTTATTTATTGTGGGCTTTATCATAATCCACGTGGGTTTGTGGCGTTGCAGGGAAAATTGTTCGTTCTCCTTTTGGCGTCATGCATGGGAAGAGCTCTCCTGTATATTATAACGAGGAGGAAGATAGCTTGTTTTCAGGATTATCAAAGTATGAAATTTTCTGTCCTTTTGTGATGCCTATTTATGTCTTCCTAGTGTAAATTTTACCCTAACCGTCAGCAAATATTAACAATCCTATTTATTATTTAACCATTTCCAAACATTGCTCACATTTTACATTTCTTTTGTTTTTTACGTTATGAATGATTGCGGTACCTTGTTGTAAACTTCTATTTGTACCTTTGTTGATCGTTTGTTAACTATAGTTCCTTGTGGCTTTCGTGTAAGCAGGCTTTAATGTTGCATAAAATGCATTTCATTATTAGTCATTTCTTGAATGGCATTGTTGTGCAAGCTTAGTAGCAAATACTAAGTTGTATTTGAAATTCTTGATTATATATGTGAACATTAATCTAAAAATCCTACTACTTTGGCCATATATTATTTGAAAGTAACATGTAGGGGCTGGTGTTTGGTTGCGGTACCATATATTAGGTTGGATTGGTTGCTAAAAGGAAATGTTTGATTTAGTGTATGAGGTTTCTCCCGTTGTTTGTAATGTAATGAAATAATAAACTAGTATGAGAAGACCTTGCTTATCATTAAATTGACGAAGAATATCCTTCCGAACTCTCAACCATCCTGTGCATTAACTCAAGTAACAAGTAACAAGTAACTTTCCTTTTGTCTTTTCAGCCCTTTCACTGCTGGCAGATATCACAGTCTTGTAATCGATAAGGACAGTTTCCCAGGTGAAGAACTGGAAATTACAGCATGGACAGAGGATGGACTGATAATGGCTGCTCGTCACAAGAAATATAAGCATCTTCAAGTATGAAACAGTTTCCTTTTTCTTCTCTCTTTTCAAACTATTATGCATAGGTAGAATGTTGTGCTATTTAGATAATACAAATTATAAGTTGCCTTGTCTACAGAAAATGCACTTCAATGCACAAGTAGTGTACCATATAAAGAAGAGAGTCATAAGATTGGGAGGCAGTTGCCGTGGGCGTCATTTCTGATCCTTAGATTCCTTTATTAGGTTACTGACAATGTTTTGCGTTGAAAATTTGTAGCTTTATACGTAAATTTTGGCGCTTATTGAATTTGTAGCTTTATAGGTAAAATCGTTAATCATGTAACGTAAAATTTGATGTTCAGTTAGCTGGTACTCTTCGTTTCTTTTGACATGCATTGACACACGTTACATTCATGAAACAAAAAAAAAATTGCCATGATGGATTGCAGCTAGTTTGCCTCAAACAAATTAGTTTTAATGTGATTAGCTCTTAAATTGTTGAATCTGATTTCTATGCCTCCTTTCTAACCAAATGTATTTGAAATTTGCAGGGGGTTCAGTTTCATCCTGAAAGTATCATAACTTCTCAAGGCAAGACAATCGTGCGTAACTTTATTAAATCGATAGAGAAAAAAGAGTCTGAATCTGAGAATTAGAGGTTTGGTTGATCTGCAGATTCTGCACAATGTAATGTAGCATGGTGATAAGACCCACATGTATTATGAGTCAAGTTTGTTATCAATGCACTTTCTTTTACCTTGTGCACACTCTCTGTTAATCCTGACTGTTGATTTTACTTTCATTGTTAAATCTAACGGCTACAAAACTAGAGGGGCGTATATGAAGTGAGAAAAGGTGTGTGAAAAGCACTACCCTTAGAATTCTCAGTTTCTTGAACATGGTTCTTGCTCGTACATCTCGGTCTCCCTGTTGCTTGTGAGTTGCTTGTTTCCCAAGTCTTACATGGACCGAAAAATGATTCGAATGATCTTGTTTCTTAGTAGTTTCATATATTATCATTTATACAATTGCGTTTAGTATAATTTGCAAACCAAATAGGCACTAAGATGTGTTTAAGCCATTTAATTATCCATTTATTTTAAGATATGTAATGGCAAAGGCATTAGCCCTCTCGCGTGGGCAAAGACAAAGGCAAAAGCAAGCAGAATGGTCCGATCTGATGTCAAAGACATGCAATAAAGTCCACAAAACAGCAAAATCTGCTTCTTGTAATTGTCGAAAGTAATTAAAGTACAAGCACTTAGAGCCAACCTAATCATATTTATTACAAAACCAACCCTAGCACCATCGCAACTTACTTTTTCTTTCATCCAATACATTTTGGCTAGCGAAGGTGTTTGGAAGCCTGAGTAGTGTTCTCTGAAGCGCTAGTTAAGCTCGCCTACTATCGTTAAATAATCTGCATTGAGGCATTTTGACCTACCAAATCTAACAAAAACTATTAACTTGCATTATAAAATTGCAACTTTACTGGTTTTGGGTGAAAGATATAACTAAATATATATATATGGGGGAGTGGATCCGTGACCCTACTTTTTTTACACAAGTTTTTGTGTTGCCCACGTTGTAATGTATATCAACGATCCAAACCATCTTATCTTTTAAGTTTTCCCTCAAAAATGATGCCTACCAAAAAACCCTCAAATCTGAAATCATATGACCCTTTATCTTTTCAGGTCGTTGAAATACAGTTCGGTGCGGGTTCTACGAAAACTTATGTCAAAAGTTATGTAAAAAAAGTGGTATCACGGATCCGTCCTATATATGTGTATATTATATAATTAAACCAATGTTATAACGTTTGGTATAAGATTCTAATTCTATCGGCTATTGTATTAGGGTTAGTGAATAATGCTGCAGACAAGATGAGCTGTGTCAGATGGATATTACCATGCAGCAGATGTCAAAGCAATTCGCGACAGTATGCATCTAACCTTGTATTTGTTTTCAACTTATCAACCTTAATATATATTTAGTTTGGTAAACACATGCACAAACTCAGCCAAAGTGGTCGGTCGGTTCTGAATGTTTTCGTTTTTGTTACAGAATCTTGACCATTTTTATCAGTCTAACATATATTTTTCTGCAGATGTTAAAGCAGTGACTTGTTGTGAAGAAATAATGGTTAGTGTAACTTCGGTTCGGTTCATATTTTCTCGAAAGATATTTTAAATTTAAATTTCATGTTCCTGCTAATCCAATAATAAAACAAAACATTTCGAAGCTCAAGATGTGGAAAGATTTTGGAACAAAGACTTTAGAAGTCACGTTGGATTTTCGATGCTGGATTATTTTGAAACGCTAACAAGTAGATACCGTCCACCAAGTCTTAATTAGGCTAAAGCTGCCAAGGTGATGTGAAAAACAGGAAAAGGAAAACCCTAATGGCTCAATTTTTTATTTTTTTTTCTTTTGTTGGACGTCTGTCCTTTAAAGCAATGGACTTGCAATAATATTAATAATTTCCAAAATATTTATTTCGGTACGTTTTGTTTGCGATGGTGATCAACAATATCTATAACGTATCAATACTTGCTGTTTTGTTAAAAATAAAAAAAAAATAAAAAAAAGGACGTCCATTTTATAGCTGGACTATTTAATTATATACTTGTAACAGTTTGTTTGGCGATTGTAATCATTCACTCTCATAAGCATGCCATAAAGTTTTTAACGTTTTTCATCTTCCCTTCCGTTAAAGACCATCAGAAATCAAGTGGGTAAGAGGAGTTGAGATTCTCTCTGGATTTCACTGTCTGAAGCTTAGGAATCAAGAAATTCGAACCGTTTAAAAGAGAGATTCGAACATTTGTTTTCTGTAAGATGGGCCAGTAAAACAGATTAATAGAGACCACATAATTCAATTTGAGTGACCTGAAATTTTTTATGCTTGGGCTCCGGACAGTGATACAACAAAGCTCCAAAAACCATAGTTTTCATGTCAGCTAGGGTTAGTTACCGCTTACCCAATGAGCCTCATACCAAACCATATTTTGACAGCTCATTTCTTATCTCCAGTGATCCAAAGAATTTCCAGGAAAACTATTCCAGAGAAATTCATATTATTTTTCCCTTCAGGAAAAAAAATGAAAAAACAAAATTCAAAAGTGGTTTATGAATGCTGGGAACACGTGGAGTCGAATAAGATCAAATCATCAGAGATTCTGGTTTCTTGTAAATGGACTTACACGTAGAGTCGGATGAGACAAAAACATAAGAGATTCTATGTTTTCTAGTAAATTGAACTACAAACGACGAGGTCGGACACTTCCACCAGTTTTCTCTAGAAATTCAGTGTTTTTTTTTTTTTCAATTTCTACAGGGTCATCAAGTGTAGCAGGTTTTGTTTCCTCATTTTACTTGGTTTTACTTTTACCTCTCCACCTTCCAAGTCACGGACCCAACTTTGAAGCCTTCAAGAATCTAACCATCTGCATTCACAGTTCAATGTGAAGGGTAAAATCCAACATACTGAACCCATTTTTCCAGCTCTTGTCACATCCAACTGACCTTGGATTCCAATTCACCATTGACAAACTATCAGCCCAACGTTTACTGCGCAGGCAGCTCTTGACTTTATAAGATAAAAGGCAACGACCATTGACCCGAACTGTTGGCCATTCTGAAAGTTCAAAATAAATTAAATTTTAAAAAATAATAATAACGTAAATCCTACAAAACAACGCTCCAGTGCAGTGGACCGCATGACTAAATTTTGACAGCCACAATCTAGCCGTACAAACTCTGGTGCATCACATACACCGGTTTTTTCGGTTTACCGTAGAAAAAAAAAATAATGATGCCAGTGCACACAACAGATAGAAAATCCATGCCTACTACATATCATAGAAACTTATATATGCTCAAATATTTATTGAAACCATGAGGGCTTTCAAAAGTACAGAGAAAATCTCAATTTGTAAAGCCAAAAGGAAAGCATGAATGATAGCCAGGGACGGAAGCATTCTAAAGTTGTATGAACTATACACATACCCCCCAAAACACCATGTAAAACTCTATCCACCCTCAATAAATCTATGCTTCTCCACTCACTATACAACGAAAAAATTAACCCAGCGCGCTATATCAACCAAATGCCAATGGAGTGACTGTAGTGCTCGTTCGAATCACAATATCCATACATTACTTGCAGCCCTCTCAAACAGAAGTTGCCTCATCTGCCTGGTTTACTCTGCTCCGGTGGTGATGCTTTCCACGGTGGCGCCTCCCTTTCCCGAATGTGACAGGGTCAAACACACGCAGTCTTTCAGCTTCCTGGGGATTGATCACACACTCTGAAGGAGGGGACTTGTAACGGATTCTGTCATAGCAGTAGGAGTATGTCATGTGCTTCTTCCTGAAACTCTCCATCTTCATTCTTTGGAGGCGGGTAACGCCAGTAGGGACCGATTCTGAACTTCGGGTGTTTTCGCATTTCTTTGATAATTGTTCAATTGGATCGACTGCACAGCCGTGTAGAACAAGGTCAGAGAACTCGGCCAAATAGGGAGCATACTTGTAATTCACTCGGTATTTGCCCCCGTTGGTAGCCCAATCAGATCCATCCCATATCGTGGCATACAATGACATTGGCTTAGCGGGGAAGTCACCACCCATTGATTCTGTTTTCTTGAACTCTCTAATGGGAACATTGTCAACATAAAAGCTGCAAGTAATTGACATTGGAAACAAATACGCGATCAAAATCTAAATCACAGAACTCATAAAATATGAGGTGAAAACAATAAAAGGCGAGAAATCGCTATGAACAAAATTTTCCCTTGAATAACAAAAAATTCTATTTTCATTTATTCCCTAAAACGAAAACTTGCACCAAGGATGGTAGTTGTATTAGTCTGTCAAACCAAACTCTGGTTTATCTGTCCCTTAAACTTATTAAGTATCTACCATTCAAACCAAAATTCCCATCCTTCTCTTTTTTACTTTTCTCAGAAACCCAACAGCTGGTTTTGAAGAAACAAAAGGCGGTATTAAAAGGACGAAAACAGCAAGTGATCTACTGTGTTTTCCTAGAAGGAGAAACCCTGCCTCTGCATTTGCCATACACAGAGGCATCACATCAAACCCCAAAAAACAGTAAACTCCAGACTTCAAAGAACATAACATTATTGGTGATAATATGGAAAAATATGCTCACAAAAAGTTGATATGCTAACTGATAGATTTAGCATATTAATCCAAATATAGAGTGGCGAGTTTTGATTGATGCTCACATGATCTGAGAGTCAGTCCAGAGAATGCTGTACTGATGGTAATCGTCGGATGGATCAAACCATAGATTGTATCTCTCTTCCCTGCCGGTGTTGGTGCTTCCGTTGCCGTAAATGTTGGTCTGAACCCTCCATTCTTTGCCCCGTATGTTCCCCAAGAACTCAAAATCAATTTCATCATGGTACTTCGGAAACATGTCGCCGTTCGACATCTGTTAACATTAAACTGATTAGAACCTATATTCCCCTATTCATTTAACAGCTCAGTGATAAAATAAAAAGGAAAACACAAGCAAACATCAGTGTGGAATATTTATTCATCCGAAATCTTAAACATAAACAAAAAAGAAAGAAAATACTCATCTGGGTGTGAACTTCAGGTAACAAAATGGACATTTTAAATGTAAAAAGTTAGCCTATCTGGGTTATCTCACAAGGTTGAGAAAACAAGTTTTTAACTGGGATATTGATAGAATTAGATCCATAACATTTTCCGGGCTCCACACC